GTATGGATTTGATGATTTTGCTTTTTGTAAATCTAACATTGATGCAAAATATATAAATGCTGCTTCTCTCTGATTGCCATTTCTGTTGTCTGGTATATGTACCATTTTACTTTAAAATTGTTAAATTGGCAGAGTAAAGTTGCTTCACTTTATATTCAGATATAAAAATATTATATTACATTATATCATATAATATAGAATATATCCAAATATATAAATCTGGATAGAGGTATTAACTCTAATTCCTGGTAGTCTAATATTTCGATTACAACCTCTTGATATCTTCATGAACAAGTCTTTTAAATCAAAAATAAAAAAAACTCTAATATATATAGATAAAAATTAATCTGACTGGGTTATGCGAACCAAAAGAAATTTACAATCAGGCTTTTAATTATATTCTATGTTTAGTTAGATATTTGTAAAAATTTATCATTATAATAAATTTTTTATAGATAGCTAATTATATATAGAATATAATTAAAAGCCCAATTGTAGGTTTTTTCTTTGCAGTATTTATATTATTAAGTTTATTAATTAATTATTAATTTTTTTTTTAAATAATTTCTTAATAAATGCAAAACTTTTATAACAAATAGATGGATAAAGAAATCAAAAAATACACTAAAATCGGCAAAATAAAACAATCTTCTTATCTTTAGTTGCTACTTGGGTAAAAGAGAACTGAGAAGCTATTGATATTAATAGATACTGAAAATAATCTAATTTTTGACTTTACAAGGATTATGAACTAACAAACCTAGGAAGAGGAATTGAAAGTTAGAAAGAATTGAATAATGGTAAAAACAATGATGAAGATGATGGTAAAAATAATAATAAAAATAATAGTAAAAGCAATAGTGAAAACAATAGTGGAAGCAATGGTAAAACAATAGTGGAAGCAATGGTAAAAATGAAAAGAATAAAAGTGGGTTAGTTTTTAATAATTACTATGAAAAAGGTAAAGAAATAACAATCATTCAAAATTGGGATTAATAGAACTAAAACTTTTAGAAGATTATAAAAAACAAAGTTTAGTAGTTTAATGCTAAATATTTGTTTATACAAGCTTTAAATTTTAATGTAGGATTTCAAGCAAAAAAAAAATTTTTTTGCTTAAACAATTAAATCTAATTGAATAAAATTAATGTCGCAGCTGATGCTAAAAACGGCTGATGCTGAAATTTTTTCATATTTTATTATAAAATTATAAAAAATTTTTGGGCCTTTTTTTTATACTTTTTTTTCATAGTTAGGTTAGAGTTAGTAGGGTAGTTTTATTAATAAAAAAGTACATTTGGATTTTAGTAGGTATTATAGATTTAAATAGAGACCCCAAATTTCAGCATCAGCTGTGACAATAAATTTTTTAATAAATTGATCGACAAAATTTTAAAATTTTACTTAGTAGGCCAATCATATAATGATAGTAAATCATTTAGTATGAAACACCCCAATTACGTACCCAATTTTAGTGAGTAGATTTACTCATATTACTTAAGATAAAAATACTTAGGTAATGTTTTTTATGCTTACACCGAATTAATGAAAGATAAATAAACAATATAAATCAAAAATTCACAATATAAGAAATATTTTTTAACCTTATTATTCATAAAAAAATCATAAAAAATGAATTATAAATCAATATAGACCTCATTACTTAGTTTAAAATTACTTAGTTTAAGGCCTTGATTACTTTTAAAACTTTCAAACTCAGAAACAATTCCTCTCGTATCAATAAGTTTAGAAGTATATATATTATTTTCATGTTTTTGCGTAATAATTGGCAATTCTTTGATTAGTTTATCAGCTTCTAAAAATTGCTGTTTGATCTCATTATCGCTATCGTAATCACTATTTGCTTCTAATAATTGGTTTAATTGTTGTTTGATCTAATAATTGCCACCGTAATTAATGTCTAGAATTTTTTCTGTTTTTTAAGTTTATCTAGAATTTTTATTGGTGATTTTTTAAGTTTATTTAAAATCTTTGGCGATATTTTAAGTTTATCAAGAATCTCAACAGTTGTAGTTTTTTTTTTATATCTTTATCTTAATAACAGTAGTTGGCGACTAGAATTTTTTTCTATTTTTTAAGTTTATAAAGAATCTTAACAGCAGTAGGTCTTTTTTCATATCATTATCAATACATTGATTGGCTAATTCAATATAACATTTTGGAGAATCTATAAAAAATTCAGGTCACAAACCATTACAAATCTTTAGAGCTAATTTAGCATCAAAATTGTAGCCATCATAAGGTCTTCGACTAGTTAATAATTCTATCATAATAATTCCAAAGCTGTAAATATCGGCAGCTTGAGTAAAAGGTTCGCCTTTCAAGACTTTAGGAGCTAAATAAGGTAAAACACCATAAATATGTCCATCTTGTTTTTATCAAACGATATTGATAAACCTAAATCTGTAATATAAGCTTTATATCCATTTTTTAGTAAAATATTACCAGAATGTAAATCTCGATGTATAAATTTTTTATAATGAATATATAATAGATTATAAATGATATCACTTAATATTTTTAGTTTAATTTTCCACTCCATTTTAAATATATCTTTAAGGTTTTCTCATAATGATCCAAATCTTGCGTATTTTAACACTAAAATAAAATCTCCACTATTTTTATCCTTTGATATGCCATAGTATTTCCCAAATTCGTGATATGCCTTTAACTAAAAGGTTGTCAATTTATATACAATTAATCTATAAAAATAAATAATATAAATTTACGTGCAAAAAAAATACCTCGTTTAAAAAAAGATCTTCATTTTTATGTGAATCTTTTATTATTTTGATTGCAACTTTGTATGTTTTATATGATGTTTTATACACTACGGAAAATCTACCTTTATCTACTACTTCTTCAATATTTTTAAAATCATCATATTTTATCCAGTGGAAATATTTATGTTTAGAGTATTCATGTTCAGTAACAGCTGATTTTAAATACCATTCAAAAGCTAAATTTTTATTCTTTTCTACTCCAATTTCAGAATGATAACACGATCCAACTTTATGCATACCACAACTATATCTATATTCGGTACTTTTTAAATAATATTCAAAGGCCTTTTGTTCATCCTTGTAAACTCCATATCCATGTTTATAACAATTTCCAATATTATATGTTCCCGCAGCGGACCCCATCTCTGCTGATTTTTGATAATAATTGAATGCCTTGTGTTTATCTTTTTTAACTCCAATTCCAAGATGATAACAACGTCCAACATAATATGTTCCATTAGCATCTCCCATTTCTGTTGATTTTTCATAATAAATGAATGCCTTATGTTTGTCCTTTTTAACCCATTTGCCACGATGATAACAAATTGCAAGAATGAATTGAGCTATAGGATCGAATTGATTATCTAAACAATATTTGATAATATTAACCGGATTTTGCTTTTTTTTCACTAGAAATTGTTCTAAGGTGTCAAGAAGTAATCTGTCAGATTTGCCTTTCAATTTTTCTTCATAAAAAATATTATACATTTCTTTAATAATTTCATTAAGAAAATCCTGTGACTTATCTTCTAAATACAATCGATTAACTTCATTGGACATTTTAGTAACTTCTAATCGTTTGATTTTTTCTGGTTGTTTTGCTGTTGACATTTTAACGCAATGAAGGAATATATCAGATATATTACACAACACGGACTTAACGGACTTATCAAATTCATTGAGGATATGCATATATTGCATTGCGTAACTTCATTTTAAGTCTTTTGATGCAACTATCACATATGCATCATAACACCTTTTAACGATATTTATTACTGAAGACTTCAAAATACTGTATAGAGATAAATTTAAAACTAAGTTTAATAGTTCAAATTCACACTTTTTTCTATAAAGTCTTTCTAGCTTAAGTATTTCTTTCAGTATCAATTTTACACCAACTTCCTGCAAACAACAATTTCAGTATTTGTGTTTTGAACATATATAATAAATTTTTAAAAATTGCTTTTTCAATAGAAAATTTCGCCACTTGATTGCTTCCAATCCCTTACTTTAAATTATTATTGTTTAAATTAAACTTAATTTTATTTGGGATTATTTTAACAAAATATTTAATAACTTTTAGAGGTTTCTATTCTTTTCAATCAATTCGGTTAGAAGTATGAAAAAAACTTGTAAATTCATATGACTTCTTTTATTGTAAAAATAAGAAATCACCCAGTATATAACAGGCATTGTAATAATATACTGTTACAAATTATTGATAATATAATGTTTTTAATTAATTAAAATAAAAATTTTGAGATTTTTAATTTATTCTGTTTATGTAAATAGAGCCCAATATGTAAGTAAACAAATTAATCAGTCTCAGTCTTAGATTTTCAACAATCTTTTTTTATATAGATCTTGGGATCTCTTTTCGCTCAGCCTTTTTTTTAAAACTCAATTCTAAATTTTCTTCGTAAATGATAACTTATTCGATAATTATTCTCAGAATTATGAAGGCATTTATATCGATTTTTTTTCTATATCTCTTGTTTTAGTGTTTGGAATAGATTCTCAATCCAGTAGGACTGAAGATTTAATCTATTATTATGCTTTGTAACCTTTGCAGCAAGGACATGTAAATATTATTTCAATTTAAGGCCAAATTTTGGTTTATTTCGATTTTGGCTTTAAGTTAGTGAGGAATTAGAAGATCACGTGTTTATTTTGAATTCCGAGCTTACTAATGATGCACGAGTTAAAAAAAACAACTTTATATTAATCTAAAAATAATAGTAATTTAAAGATTTTGAACTAAAAACTAAAATTGAATGAAATACATCTAAAGTATTTGAATTTTAAGATAAATGCATTCAAAATATTTATTACAATTTAGACGTAACCAGATTCAATATTTACAAATGACTAAATAAATTTTTTGAATAATTCGATTCGAATAAATAAAAGAAAAAAATCATATTTGATTTCATAAGTTTTCTGTTAACTAAAACAACACTCAGGCTTAGATCAAATTTTAAGCAGCGATTTCATACTTGATTTGGTGGCAATAATTGGTGGTAGAATTACTGAATTATGGCATTTTACTAGTGGTAGAATTAATTACAGCATAGCATCTAATTGCCGTAAAAATTGTATGCCGTAATGCTGTAATGTCATAATGTCGTAATGTCGTAATTAGTGTTATAAATTCAAAAAATTTTTATTGGCGCAAATGCAAAAAAATGTGCACAAAAAAAAATTTTATACACGCACTATATATACGGAGAGTGCTATTATATGCGCAAATTTAAATTTATGTATGCTGCGCCTACTGCGCGAACCCAATTTACATCACTGGTCGTAATGCCGTAATGTCATAATGCCATAATGCCAAAATACCACAATAGCACAATATTGTAATGCAATACCATAAACTACAATATAATATTATAATGTTACAATTAAGTAACTACATCACTCAAAACCGGAAACTGAATATGTTGTTATTTGCCATACAAGCATTTCATTTACGTTAATTAGTCAGTAAGTATAAAGGTT